ATTTTTACATTTTCTTGATTTCCTCCTCTGAGAAAACATGTGACAAGCCAGAGAGTCCGAGTTTCAACTGAAACTGTCCTGTGTCCTTTTCCGGTGGGTGGGGCTGGCCTCGTTCTGTTCTGGGGGTAACCTGAGATTAAAGGGTGGGGTTTGGAAGTGCAAGTGTTGTCATATGGGTGAAATTATGCGTTTTGGATAACTTCGGGGTGTGTGTACGTAATGTCTCTGTAAATATGCAAAGCAGTCTGCAGCCCGTGTCTGTTTACAGCGTTTGCATGTTGACTCTGAAACCAAACATTCTACACTAGGCTTGGAGTCACCCCGCTTTTTGGATAAATGTGTTGATTGACAGACTATTTCAACATTATTTCAGCCCCCTTATCATTGTGGTTCAGAGCCTACGTTGATGGGACACGACTACATTTCCCAAACAGTGTGAAGGTGCTTCTCCTCTATCTGTATTTCAATGAGAAGCTGACACAGGACTCCGGAGCTGCGCTGAGAAAACGGAGCTGGGTTCGGCGGATGTCTGGTTCTCAGTGTTGTTGTGCCTGTGACAAAGAGAATAGATAGCAACCTGAGACTCGCAGGCCTGTTTGTTTCCTGTTAGTGCACATTATCACATTTCAGCAACCAGGAGGGACAAGAGCTAAGCATCATGGGAGAGTGAAATTCTTCCAGGCATGTATTTGACAAAAATGTCAAGAGTTCACGATCTGTTTGATCTTTGTGAACAGATTTACTCACAGTTTACTCTCAAGCTATGAAAATGCTTCTGCATTGGGGAAAGTCAGGTTCCTGCCTGTGAGGTTGTATTCCACTGCATGAGGCTTGAAGACGTGAAATGTTTATTCCTGTTCACCTCCGCTTGTTAAGAAAAAGAAAAAGCCTCACAGCTAAAGTAAATGATTGTCTACCGACTCTGACTCACCCAGTTAGGCCTAATTATGTATTGCAACACAGAACACTCTGTACCCGCTCAAAGAAACATCTCGGCCGTGTGGAAACTCCTGGTGTTTGATTTTGGTAAGCACTCCCTTTTCATATCAACTTTCTCTCCAGATGAAACCGCCACAGCTCAAAATAATCTCTACCGCATGCGATCGACCATCTCTATCGACCATCTCTGAGCTGTGCCCCCCCCCCCCCCCACCACTATCCCTGTATGCGGTGTCATGTTGAGCTGTTCTCTGTGATGTTGCCACATCAGATAGTGCTTGTTGCTCCCCAGCAGAGTTTGTGTTTGCCGTCTAAACAGCGGAGGCGTAATGGTGGTGCGGGGGCAGACGAGGGGAGGGGGGTGTGAGGGCTTTGTTAAGAAAAGCAGGGATTCTTCCGGCTGGCAGATGAAGTCAGTGCATTCCTCCGAAGCTGCTCCCTATAGGCAGTCAGTGGAGCAGAGCCAGGCACTGAATGAGGGGCAAGATAATGGCGGGACTCAGCGTTAAACCCCCCCCATTGAGAACCGGAGAGACGGACCCAAAGAGAACACCATCTGTCTGACTCTGGGTGAAGAGTTGTCTTTTATCCACCTAGGCTACAATGTTTCATTTGCTGTGCCAAGCTCTGTAGATAATCCTGCCACCGCCCTGAGGCATTTCACTTTTTATGAGCACTGCGGTATTTTATTACCTTGTTTTGAAGCTGAGCTGTAAAAGTACAGACAGAGAGACAGACGGAGGAATGAACATTACAATATTCATTTAGGTTAAACCTGCTGCCCCGACGCGTGTAAGGCAACCTGCTGATCTGCTCTGCGAAGTCTGGCGAGACCCAGTCGTGGTCCTGCTAAGGGGATCAAACTAAAGGAGACACACACACACTTGTTCTATCTCTCCTGCCATGTTTCTATGTATTTCTACCCGCACAAACACCCTCTCCCAAACATAGACACACTTGAGTTGCTCCACTTTCCCTGTCCGTTCCCCTCGGCAGTAAGCTATCATAACGGCTTTGAAGGAGGGCAGCAGAGCGTTTAATTGGGTTACAGATTGGCATTTATGCTTCCAGGTCCGAAAGATACTGCCGGGGCTCTTAACTAACCCTCCCCCCCCCCCCCTCGGCTGCCGGTCTTGGAATTTACAGTTCAATCACTCTCTCACTCAGCACAGTAGTTTTTGACGTCGGCACTGTTTGGAGTACAAACTGGTATTTCAACAAAATGACTAACAAGTGAGGGTGCTGCGTGTATATATGACAGCTTTGTTGCGTTTGGGTTAGTAACAGGTTGTGTCACATGTTGGGGTAAGATTACATTATGACCAGTGACGCCTTTTACAAAGTTGGCACGGTGTCTTTTTTTGAGCTCCCTACTTTTTGTACAATTAAAAAAGTTTATTGTTACAACTGGAAAATTGCACCTCTGGATCAAGCCTCAATCTGATCAACACACGTGTAACATGTCTCTCTCTCTGTCCTCCTTTTTCAGAGTCCGTGCCATGCAGTGTTGAGTTGAGCCAAGCCGAGCTGAAGTGATCCGATTTTTGAAGAGCATCTTACCCGTCGCCTCCTCCTGCCTGGTCCCAGATGGAGCTCAAAGTGTGGGTGGACGGAGTGGTGCGGGTGGTGTGCGGCCTGTCTGAGGAGACGTCCTGCCAGGATGTGGTCATCGCTCTGGCCCAGGCCATTGGTGAGCATCTCAAACTCTTTTCTGCTGTGAAGTCATTGGGTTCATCGTGTTGCGATACCAGCCTCCAAGCTGTTGTTGCTTGGCTCTTTGTCTGTGTGCTTGATTCATTCATCTTGCCTTAGGTGAGTAGGTAACGGCAACGGGATTTTGAGTCAGTAAATACATGAGCACATGCAACAATCCGGTTCTGCACTCACCTTTCCCTTCACCTCCGACCCAAATTGAGTACTCTGTTGGATTGTCAGGGGGTCAGTTTGGATTTCCGGCTCCCTGTTTCTGTATCCTCTTGCTTTATTCAAGCCTTACGCTGCAGCAGCGTTGAACAACATAGATCCAGATTTAGCACTCTCCTCCTTCCATGAGTGAGCTGCCTGCCAAGTCATCAGGGAGGGCTTGTCCTAATTTCAAGGTCCTTGTGGAAACTTCAGTGTATTTGAACATTTTTTACATGTTGTGCGAGTCTTACGAAGAAGCCTTTCTTCCAATCCTCAGAGGCAGAGATTTAAAGGTATCAGCATCATCATAATGCATCTGATGTCATTTGTTCACTGGCGCTGCTGGATTTAAATCGACAGCATTAATAACCGAGAAGGAGAAGAAAGTTCTTGACTGCGTCTCCAGTTGGATATGGTGGTGTTTTAGGCAGCGTAGTTTGTGTTGTCTTTCACCTTGTATGTCTTTGTCCTCACTCCCTGTTTCTCTCTGTCCCCAGGTCAGACAGGCCGTTATGTTCTGATCCAGCGTCTCAGGGATACAGAAAGGCAGCTGTTGGCCACAGAGAAGCCTCTGGAGTCTCTGGCTAAGTTAGGCCAACATGGAGGTGAAGTTCAGTTCTTCCTGCGCCGTACGGGCCCAAGCAGCAGTGACGGACCCAGCTTGAAACAGGACAGACCGAGCCCCCCTCCACTGCCCAAGCATCCTGAGCCAGAGTATTCCAAACGCAGCCAGCCTAAGAAAGCACTCACCTTTAACCTCGGGCCATCCACCTCTCCTAGAACCAAAGCCGAACAGTTTAAGAGGCCTGCTCGGGACTCTCCAGAGCAAAGAGCCTCCCCCTCCCCCTCTCCCAGCCCTGTTTCCTCTCATGTGCCATCCCCATCTCCATCTCCATCACCACCTATAGGCCCATCCAAAGAGGAGGTCTTCAGGAAGGTTTTTCAGCAACAGGAGAGACTGAAGGCCATGGAGGCCCAGCTAGAAGCTCTAGAGAGGGAGTCGCATTCCCGGGAGCGTCCCTACCCGTCTCCGTGTCCATCACCAGTTTCTGACGCTCACTTGCAGGAAGAGATGGACACTTTGGAGCTAGTAGTGCGGAGGAACCAGGCCGAACTGGCCCACGAGCACTACTGGGAGGAGGAGTTTCAGGTGGAGGTGGAGAGGGAGCGAGAAATGCGTAATAAGCTGGGGGAGCTCCACGCCAAGCTCGACGACTGCGGACGGCGGCTCCACGACTTCTCTGTTCGCGCTGCTCAGCTGGAGCAAGAGATCCAGCGGGAAAGTCAGACGGAATTGAAAGCCAACGGACCCGAGGAATCCCTCGACACCTTGAAGGCGGAGCTCCTGAGCCGGGAGAAACACCGGACAGAGCTGAAGGAGCAGCTGTCTGAGACTGACAAGGCTCTGGGGAAAGCGGAGTCTCTGATGCAGGTAAGGAGAGAGGTGACGGTTCTGGAGAAAGGGCTATAAGGCCACGTCAGCCCGCGTGTTGTCATTTGAGGCGTGTAGCACTGACCCTCTTTTAGCCATACTGTACAACTGTATCCCTCTCCTACCTGCATACTGCAGCAGACAAACTGCAGTGCAGAGACACTTGAACACATGATTTATTGTTTTTTTTATATATATGAATAATTATTGAGCAAAGTATGATGACATGAATGCTGTATATTCACATCCTACCTTGTATGAAAATGTTATATTGTCTGATAAAGCAATTTGCAGTCCAGCCAAACTGGTTTGGCCGGTTTCATGTTGTATGCATGTTCTGAACACGTGGTTACGAATGGTGTTTAAATTACATTGCCAGTATCTACATATTCTTGTACCCTGTATATGGAAAAAGAGATTAAAGAGGATTGATTTGTAGAACAAAAGCCCCTTTTATTGGATCTGCTCAGCCTTAACTTATGGTAGTTTGTGGTGTCATTGTTTGTTTATTCTTGGTGGTTGTCATAGACGCGGCTGTATCAATAAAAGACTAACCCAGTTTGAAGCTCGACACTCGAGTTCCCTCATAATCCAAAGGAAACCCAGGAGAATTTAATTTTGCTTTTATTGTAGCGTGGTTTTGAATGTTTTGCCACAGTGAAATGGAGCACACTGAAAACATTTGTAGTCAAGGGCTTCTGTATTTTCACCAGCATGCCCAGACTGAAAGACCTTTGTGTCTAATGCTCAATCCACTGGGCTAAAAGCAATAGCTAACAAACTGACGGCAAAACTGATTAAACCATTACGTTAAGCTCATCTGCTTCTCAGTCAGTCATCCTTGTGGGCATATGTCTGACTCAACAGATTTATTGCCCGATTGATGGAACAGAGAGGGACTGTGTCATGATCTATTTGCCAATTATACAGACAGCATCCTGCTGAAGAACAGAGGTATTAGGTTCTAGTTTTTTTTCATACATCCTGGTATACTATGTACCACCATGTCATAACAGGACTGCAAGAGTTTATAATCCGAAAGTAACCACAGAGGCATTCTGCCACCCAGGCAGTTATCGCCTAAAAATGAGATGCATGTTAATACTGGTAACATAATACAGTATAATAAAGCTCAGTTCATCGTAATTGAAAGGTGTGCATGTCTGGCTGTGTCAGTCATCAGTCAGCCGATGGGTCGAGGTCGACACTCCGGTGTTTAAGTGCTGGTGATGATGAGCACAGCGTTCCTGTCATTAGGCTAATCGAGGCAGAGCTGCAGGTGTGAACTGCCTCAGCAGGCTGCCTCAGTCCAACATCAATTATAGGCACACACACACACACACACACACACACACACACACACACACACATACATACATACATACACAGGCGCTGGAGTTGGAGACTCTAACATACTGCTGCTGCTTCCTATCCTGTGCGCAGACACATTGATTATGCACAAATGGATAGTCGATTAAGACTGATTGACTGGCCTTGTCTGTAGGCTTCACAGTTTAATCTGTGTGCGCAAAGGTGATGCCACCGTCTCCATGGAGCGTCTCTGATCTCCATGTTTTAATTTACTGTAGGTGATTAATATCTTGCCCCCTTTGGCATCTGGTCGATTAAGCCAGCTCTGAAATGCAGCAGGCAAATGAGCATTTTTATGTATCCATCGATAAGCACACATGCCTCAATCTTTTGGAATGTGATGGAATTAGAAAAAATGCTTGTGGTAGTTGTGGGACTTTGATGATTCATCGTAGCTGAATGGTCTGATGGTGGGTGATAGGCGATGGTCTCCGTCACTGAATTGAGACTAGTTGTATAGACTCTGCTGCCCCCTTATGGGGAAAAGTTGCTTGACATTTATAGGAGAAGTTATGTGACCTAAAGGCAAAATATACACACAAGTCCTGCCTTTTTAAATACATTAAATTCTGCTGGTGGTTTGTTATTATTACAGTTAACATTCAAGCCATGCAGAACAGAGTTATATCTACTGAATAACAGGCATATATAGCTCATCCCATTTTCATATGCTGCACCCATTTAGAGGCAAGGTGTCAGTGCTCAGTGAGTCAGCGCTGACTGATCGTCTCTCAATCGTCCTTTGTTTTCCTCGCTGATCCATGTTTTTTTTTTTACATCTCAGGCCAAGCAGGACGAACTGGAGGAGTTGAATAAGGAGCTGAGGCAGTGTAACCTGCAGCAGTTTATACAACAGACAGGTGTCCTGCCAGCGCACACCCACTCACGCACAGAGCTTCAGGAGCAACTGGAGCAGTTAGAGCTGGCACATCTTCTGCACGACGGGTACAGGAATCGAGGTACGGAAAAGAAAACTCCACACCGTATGCTCTGCTGTTAAAGTTCGATGAGTGGTCCCTCTAATCCTGTTTCTGTTTCCTCCGTCAGGCCTCAGTGTATCTCAAATGGAATCACCGCCTCGCCCCACTGCCAAACAGTTCCTGGGACATCCACGCAACCTGCAAAACCCTCTAGTGTCCAGTCTCAACCCTGAGGGTGTGTATGTGTGAGACCCTGCTGCTTCCCAAGTCCATCCTGCTCTGCTCCCCTCCTGCCCTGCCCGTCCCCTGGTCCCACAGCCCCTTGCCTCCCCATACTTTCTACCCCAGCTTGATTGGGTTTAAGGCTACAGCTGCCGGGTTTTTTTGTTGGTGTCGGGGTCGTGGAAGCGTCTGTGTGGTGGATCCCTGCTACTTCTCAGCATCTTCCCTGTGCTCTACCTTTCAAAGGCTGAAAGACCTATCTTCTGCGCCGAACTCTTATTGGCTTCTTCTGAACCCTAACCCATAACACATTCCTTCTTCCATTTTCTCAAGTACTCCTGCTTTAATTCTGTGGGTCTATCTATCCTTTCATGCTGTCTCTTCTCCCTCGCCCTCTTCCTCTCTCTCACTGTTTGCTTCTGGACTAACAGTAGCTGCTTTGGTTATACTTTAATACATCTGGGAACTTGCTCCTAACACCTCACTGTGTAATACAGAGCGGCCTTCCCACCCTCAAGTCAACAATCGTCTACCGACGGCTGCTTGTCCCCGTATCTCCATGTATCACGTCGATCGCACTGGGAATGACTGTAGAAGACATTCTGATTGTAGTGCTGTTTTTACACTGTGACGTGGAAAGATAGGAGACCAATGCCATTTCAGTTTGCCTTTTATGTATGGATAATATTTACAGTATATGTGAGAGGAGTGTATACAATGCCTCGTACTTTGGTGACGCTTGACTTCCAAAGAGCAAGAGCCTTTCACGGAAGGTCTCTGCAAAATATGTATTGCAATGTCCCATTCTCTTCCTGTGTGAAGCCTTGGCCCTGGTTTTCCTACAGAGAAATGTGTCTTTCTGTTCTCTATCTCCGCTCTGCTTAAGGACAATTTATTTTAGGAGGTTTTGCCAATCTATTTTTTTTTTTTCAAGCTCCACGCTTAAAAGAAGGGATGTGTTTGATAAGTAGCTCAACAAGCCCATGGTTTGTTGAGATTCTTTTCTTTTTCTCCGTTGGGATGTATGCGCATGGTTCTTCTGCTGTCATCACACTTAACATTTGACCTGTCGTAACTTGCATTGTGCCTCAGTGTGCTGTAGATTTAGGAGGAGCTTCCACAAATCCACAAATAACCATCCGAACCACCGAAACCAATATTTACTTTATTACAGCACTTGGCATCTTACTATGCGTCTCTGTTATGCTGACAGGTCAAAGTGACGTGTGCACTCTATTTTTTTTTTTTAACCATCTGCAGTTTGGTGTTTTCTTTGTGGGGTTGTACAACATCTCAATTTCTGTTATAGAAACAATGCATGAACCAGTTCTATCCCAAAATGCTCCTGCAAGACTGTCATAGTCCACAACCCGCCCGACGGGTAAAGGAATTAACCCGATGACTAGTCGTGTGTCAGCGAGTGTTTCTCATTAGGCATGTGTGAACATCTGGAATGACCCTGGTCTCTCCTGCTGTGTCTTAGCTGAAACATGTTTTCCAAACCAAGGGATCATCATCATCATCCCCACTTATTTTTGTGTGTCTTGCAGTCCTGACATCCCGAGAGTCGTCATGGAGGTAAAACATGGATCGCAGGGCCAAAGGAAAGTTGTTCACTGTTCTGTCACCGTCACCTCTTATTTAACCCCTTTCTTTGTAACTCTTTAATCGACCAGGATATACATACTGTATATACATAAGACAAATATATTTACGGACTTTTGCTACTGTAAACACTGCAAAGTATCTGTATGAAATGTAAATTAATTTAGAAACCTTTTACCTAGAGCAATTACTATTACTGTATATTTAAATATATAATAAAAATGTGCATTGTGTTTTAGATAATATTTTGTTGAGTCATTGCTTTTCTTAATGCCCTGTTTGTGGAGTCGCACTTTATTTTAATCATCCTTACAACTACAGTAACTGGGAGTGGAGGCACAGCACATCTAGAACACGCTGCAGTAAATAATTAACACACCAGTGTGCACTTTCTAAAAACGACAGTACCACGAAGCTCCTATATGTGACATGCATTATGAATGTGTTATAGCTACTGAAATATGCATGCTCTTCTCGTGTGCAATGTGGGTCCTTTGATGTACAATCATTCTTAGGCGTCTTATACCCGGTATACGTACACATCTGGCTGATCGAAAGTTCACAAATTGCATCATTGGATGCAGATGGACACGTGGCGGTCATCCTGGTATCTCACACCCTGAGCTGATGTGGGTGATGTAATAGAGTATATCTACAAGACATGTGACCATAAAGGCACGGGGGCCTGACATCCTTTGTGAGAGCTGACTATAGATGTTTTTCATTGTAAATGCACATTGTTGATAGTCTATTGTGTAGCTATACTATTAGTAAGAAATGGTGTCTTTTTAGCACCATTGTTTCGTTATTTTCTGTAATTAGTTGTTAGCTGACAAATCGAACCTTGGCGTGATGGAATAAACACACAGTTGCATAAAGGTCGGGCTTCTGCACAACACTTTTGTCCTCCACCCCTTTCCTGTTTGTTTACCCTAGAGAGTAAATATGCTGGCAGTTACACACCGAGTGACGTGAGCTGCCTTGCGCTCTGGCTAGTGAAACCCTGCTGATTTCTATAAATACTCTCATCTGGTCTGACTTGCCAGGTACAATTCCAAGCAGCCACATATCTTCTTCTCATTTAAATATACACACAAATTCAAATAAGAAATTCAAATTTTGTATCAATCATTTCCACTTTGTGCCATTGTTGTTCATGCTTGACTAGTACGTGACCTGTTCGGTTTAGATATGATTAATTATGTAGACTTGGATTTTACTGAGAAGATTTAGAGCTGTCTGGCCTGGCAGGGGGTTCGATAATCTGTTTAATTCCCACTGTCTGAGCAAGACCACAGCATGGTGCAACGCTGACACCTACCTGTGGACATGAAGGACACTGCACATACTCGTGAAGTCAAATATAAAGTCTTTCTCTTTGTATTTCAAACCTACTACCTTCCCCTTGAAAGTAATGATCCCTTATAAAGTTGGGGAAAAAAACTTAGGCTAGTGTTGTACATGTATTTTTTCCCTATTATCCTCAGAGTGAAATATATCCAACCACACCCACTTCAAATCTAAACCCAGAAGACTCCAATCTAGTAAACAGGACATTATTATCATGATGTTTTGGGACACCACGGTGAGGGAATTGTTATTGCTCATACAACGGCACCAAATCTACTTTAGGAGGAGTCGGATGAGTGCAAAAGGAGTGGAAAAGCTGTACGTTTGACCCCTTTTGTATGAAAACTGATCGATGCACATTTAGAAAAGGCAGCGGGTGTCTGGGAAAGGACCTGAGGACGAGAGTGAGCATCTACACGTCCACCTTATGATGATGAATGGGGGCCACAAATTAATGAGTGACATGCTGCACTTATCTGTTCCTCTGTGTCACAGGGAGTCATTATGCACTGATGGAAATGAAACAACCTCACTGATACCAAGAAATGCATTACATAGTAAAACAGAAAGAGAAAATGATGCCACAGTTGATTTGAGTAGAAGTTTACTTTCACTTGACGGATACCTATTACAAACAAACATGGTACATAATGCTTGGAAACAATTGACACATTTTTAAATCACTGGGAAACTTCTTCTTCTACTGTAAAGGGGTTGTACACATTACTGTATTTTCTCCATCCAAGTTTTTATAGTAATATGCTAATTTTTGCTGGAGGGCCCCCAATGAACCTCTTCTGACCTCAAAATGGGAACTATGGGGATGATGATCATGTCTAAACCACAAAGCCGAAAAAGAAACTGAAATAAAACACGCAGCAATAGTCTTGACAGTATAGGCGGAATTGGAGACGTCGGCTCCATAAGAGCCATTGCAAAGCCACTGTCCCTAAATAAGGAACAGTACGTGAACATATAGGAGGAAGTAGGCTACACTACACATGGAGATCGCTGGGCGGGCAGTCGTGTTGAGCAGGCCTGTCCCAGCAATGTGCACGGGACATGATCAAGAGGGGGACTGCTTACAGATGTAGGGGTTTGTCTGGTCCGGCTGTGGCTGGTCTTGGACGAGAAGTGTTCCCAAAACCAGGTTAGCCGCTGTCACACGCACAGTGGAACTGGTAACTGGCACAATGTGCGTTAGTCAGTGGCTTACCTGCTTTTAGATCTCAGATATCATAACCATGAGCACACACACAATCGGTGGTGTAATAAAACAGTAATATAGCAGACACACATAGTCAACACGCAGTGAGGAGATTAGTGGTATTTAACATCACTCATGCTTAGAAAATTGCGTTGTCTAAATAATGTATACAACACCAAATTATCGAACAATTTAAATATTTTACAAATATCTTCAATCACCAATTATCCTAACTCTGTAACAAACTGTAGCCTACAGGTCATTTGAATTTAAAGCTGGTTCACTTGATGTATTTAGCTACCGAAATACATTAACATGCTTTCCGTTTCAATTGTAATGAAAAAGTTCCAAAATAATAAGTAATTAAATCGGACAAGTGTAAAATAAAATGTAAAGAGAATGTACATCTAACAGTAATGGTCCGTTAGATGTGGCCTATTCATCCAGCCCATACAGAATAAAGAATAGTGTCAGATAAAGGGAGCGACTTACCAGAACCCAAGTTTTCTTTTGTATTCATTGTAAAAGAAAAAAACTATTTAATTTCCGCCGACAGGACCCAACCATCTATCAATCAAAACATCCAAATTATTTCCCCTCTAAAATAAATCACTGTGCATGGTTAAAGTTAGGTGCGTTTTGATGATATAGTATCGCCCACACCGACACTAAGTTCAGTTCTCGCACTGCCCCTACCCTGCCCACTCCCCTGCATCTGCAACCCGACCTGGTTATGCAAATTAGAAAGAAACTGGCGTCACGCACAGCCAATGGGCGGCCGCGTTGAAGCTCAACGGCCCACCTATTTTAGATAATCGACGAATATAAATCTCCCGGAGGTGGGTGTGATGAGGCCAGCAGGTTCAGTTGACTCGGTGAGTTATAGTTGGGGTGCGGCGCGTTCAGTTCTGCACGTCGTACATTAGGAATAAACCATTCTGTTATTAACAGTTTCCTGTCCTCATCGATTATTGCAACCAGGAACGTGACACAGTTTTCTTTACCCTTAAATAGATGACATGCGATGTGACAGCTGTTACTGGGGTCGGGATAGGCGTACTTTAAGCCGGTTTGGCAAAAGTCGCACCTACCCCTACAGTGTGAAGTGGTTGAACTCGGCTTGCTTATGTACAGCGTTGCCATGAGCGGAGTGTGGATGTGCACGTACCAAGGATGCAGCATGGCAGTCTAATCTGAAGATGACGAGGTGGTGGAGGAACTCAATTATTAACGGAGAGTTAGGACTCCACGACATTAACACATTGTGTAGCATTTGAAACTACAATTCAGATTTTAATTTGTTTAATTAACCTTAGAATTTCAACAACACATGAAAAAAGTTAGTTGGATTGGGAAATTTAATACCATTTTACTCCATTACTCACTTAGAGAATTGCAATATCATACCATGGATATTATAGTATTATTATCCACAACAATTGTCGTTATGATTCATTGTAAAAACAACCACAAAAAACAACAAACAAAACTAATTTTTAGATGTATGCAACAATGTCACGGAATTGACCCCCACTTCAACTTGTCAGCTGGATGTTCTTTCCATGTTTTCTTTTATAATATCAAACAACTTTTGTAGTTTAGGTTGGTGTATTCTAGAGCTTTCTTCTGGACAGTTGTTGACTGTATAAAGCCTGTGGGATTATCCACAGCCAGGATACACATGACCCCATGACATAAAGTAGCAAATCAGGATTACATTAAATTATGTAACCTGCTGGGTTTGCAAAGTCAGTGTTACCGCTAGGGGGCGACATCGGCCCTTATTTTCTGTAGGCCACTGACTGCCCTCACTTATTACCCCTGTACGCTTTTAGATTGACCCCCATGCACTAATTAGTGTGACGTGTACTTCATAACTACAGGCTATGTAGGCCTACTGCAACCAAGGCCAGCTGTGTGAAAGTTGTTACCATCATTTGAATCCCTGCTGTTGCGAGTTTGTTTGTGTGTTTTACTTTTGTTACTGTTCTAGGCAAAAAATAATAATTTGCATGCTTTTTTCAAATTTAAAATATCAGCCTGTACTCTAAAACTAGCACCGTAGAACATTTTAAATGTGTTATCTCGTGTTAGCCCATGTATTAAAATAACTGCCATTAATATGATTGAACAAACTCTAATATACACACTAATATTTGTAAATATTGTGTCTATTATATCCATTCACGTGCAGCTACTGTTTCTATATGACTGATCTCACTTAAACGAGTACTGTCTCTTTAAGAGTCACAGAGCGCACTCTGCCTTTTCCGTCTTTAGCCAGCCGGTGGTGTCAGTCAACAACCGTGGAGACTTCAAATAATACCGCAAATCACTGAATAGGTTAGCTTTAAATTCATATGAAATGCTCGAGTAGGACACTGCAGTCATGAGGGTTGAATGATGAATGTTGTACTGCTACATTAACGTTAACGTTACCCCACAAAGTGAGTGCTTTTGGGTGCAGAGTCCGAGGGTGGTGGTAGTTGACTTTCGCTAAATTTAGCTATTGTGAGGCTAGCTAACACGCTACACTGAGGCTAATGTTACTTGCTAGCATCATTTGTTCTTTAAGAACGGCGTTACAGGTTAGTCCCATATTACTGTCACTGCAAATATCTGTAATATATATATATTTACATGCACACTGCATGAGTAGTTTATCCGAGGCATAGACGAAACGATCCGTTTGGTGCTGCGCTTTCTTCTTTGTTTACAAATGTAGCTATAGCATAATCTGCAGGTTGATGCTAGCCAACGAGCTGTTGTTAGGTGACCAGTTCCCATTTGTCTTCAAACAATACAAATCAGTCCGTGTAATTTAAAGCTGCTGTTTTGTAGTTTCTGAGCTACACAGGAGCTCCCAAGTGTCACTCGTGGTTAGTAAGAATATCTTTTCCTCTCACTGCTCAAGGGCTCGGGGAAAACACATCAGCTTGTCATTGTGGTGGAATATCTTTCCTTCATCTCCTGCCCATTAATAAGCAGTGAGTAGACTGGCTTAGGCTACATGCAACCTCCACACTTAAATCCTAATGAGAATCTATCAAACCCAATTGTGTGATAATCGTTGAACATTTTGTACACAAGAATAATCCAGACATTTTCTGTTATGCAAACACTGTCTGCAATTCTGGTCCATCTTTGAAGGATTCCCTTTAAAGCAAAGCTGTCGGAAGTTGTTGGGCAGTTTTTCTGATGGTCAGCCATGGATGAAGATGACAGCCAAGATGAGCTGATCAACCGCAGCGCGTCCCAGAGCAAAGGAAAAAGGGCTGCGCCGTGGGCCATCTCAGGTAGTTTGTGTAACATGTTTATGTTTAAGACAATGAGCTGATTAAACGATGAGTACATTTTTATTTCAGAGTACAGTGCCAAACATACCCAAACGTTTTTAACACCTCGTGCATTTGTGTTCCTCTTAGATGACTCGGACAGTGGTGAAGAGGAGTCTGAGGAGGGAGAATCTGACAGTGGTGAGGAAGAACAGGAGGGTCATCTAGATGGAGAGGATGACGATGACGATGAGGAGGAGGAGGAGGAGGAGGAGAATGAAGAGGAGGATGGTAAGAGTGACAGACTTTTTACAAGATCATCATATAGTCTTATTAGTCTTTGCTCAACTTGTTTCACTGATTAAGGTTTTTGTAATTGTACCTTACTTTATACGGGAACAACAGATACAGGTATATGCTAACTAACTTAACACCCCTAGAATAGAACAATGAAGATTAGAACATATGACCTAGCTAAGTTTCAATGCCTACTTATGTCACCTAGGGTGACCTACAAAATACTGCAGAATAGGCAGTTTTTTTCCAGGCGTGGTATACCTGTGAATAGGGCACGCAGATTACAAGTGGTTATTATGTTGTTATGTTCTGCAATATACTACACACGTGTGGCGTGAAGTATATCAGTATTTGCTCACTGTTTTGTGTTACTTTGTGCTGAAATAACCTCTTTCAGTGTAGTATGTTCAGTACATTCACAATAGATTTCTACCCACTTTCATCAGATGAGGATGAGGAGGGAGATGCTAAGGCTGAGGATGGAGCTTTCGGACGAACCTCTATTGATCTTACAGGGATGAGCTCGGATGAGGACGCGGAAAAGTGTCCCATCTGCCTGAACTCATTCAGCAGCCAGCCTGTTGCAACGCCAGAGAGCTGCGAGCACTACTTCTGTCTTGACTGCATCCTTGCATGGGCCAAGGTGGGTCTCACGTAATGGTGGTATGAGCCCGAGGAGAAAGCACCTCGTATCATTTGATTAACAGTAAATACTCTGCAGTTAAGAAGCATGTGTTGTAGAGGAAGCTCAATAACGTTTTTTGTTCTCTGCTATTTAGAATGCAAACTCGTGTCCCGTAGACCGTATTGCCTTCAACAGCATTTACCTAAGAAAATGTTATGGAGGCAAAGTGAAGAAAATGGTGAGTGCGTTCAGTCTTGGTAGCATAACGTGTGGAACATTTGTTGAACCAGTTTAAGCTATATACGTTGTGTGGGCTGAGTGTTTACGTGGGGCTTGTGATGTCTGCTTCCTTTTTAGATCACAGTACAAAAGCCTGTGAAGGAGGGGCTCGAGGAAGTAATAGATCTGGACCTGGAGCAGACCAGCTGTGAGGTCTGTGGTGGCAGTGACCGGGAGGACCGTCTCTTGCTCTGCGATGGCTGCGATTCTGGGTGAGATGGATATTAATAACCTAAATAACCTTGTCTTTTTGTTTTGAAAGTCCGCTTTTATTCAGCTTTTATTACAGCCTTTTTTTAGATTTCTTATCGTCAGAGACATTTGTTATGCCTTTTTTGTTCCATAGGTATCACATGGAGTGTCTCACGCCACCTCTGGACTCTGTTCCAGTGGAGGAATGGTTCTGCCCTGAGTGTGAAGCCAGCAATCGTCACTCAAGTACGCCTTTTAAGTTATTCGCCGTTCTAAAAACGTCCTCAAACAATATTTTGGACTTGTGTTTTTGTTACAAGTCAGACGTTTCAATCTTTTTGTCTCAGGGGGTTCAGCTGAAGAAGTGAGTAATACAGAGAGCCTGCCGTCTACTGCCCGCCCACCGTCTACTGCCCGCCCTGCCACCAGTCGCCCCCAGTCCGGTGCTGCAGGTCCCACCAGAGCCATCGCCCGAACTCAGCAGAGTGAGAGGGTTCGAGCTAATGTCAACCGACATCGCATCACACAGGCACGCACGTCCCAGGTTTGGCATGAGGCGTGACGCTTCAGTCTTGGCTTACTTTCTAACTTAACTTCCACAGCGTGTATATGCAGGCTGAATCTCGCAGAAATGTCCTGTTGTTCCGCAAGGTTTGTTGTTGTGTAGATGTAGTTACTGATGGAATGTATGACTCATTGAGTTGTGCGTTTGGGTAATGTATTGTAGTGCTGCTGACAGCAGAAATGGTGGCATGCGGTTTTGGCATTTGTTGCATTTGATTGGTGATTGAAATGCATGTGTTTGGGAGTTGTGTTGAGGCAGCAATGGTTTGTGAAACGAACGTGTGGAGTAATGCAAACTTAATCTTCCTAGTTGGCTCCCACGTATCTGGTTCAGTCCAATTGGCTGGATGACACTATTAATGCTGTGGTGTCTGGGCTCAACACGGCCGTGTACATACGGGACTTAACACCTCGCGTCCCTTCTAGCAGCAGGCGTAAGACCGGTAAGTTAGCGCAAATCCAAATTCACAACAGCTTTCTGATAGAGTTAACGTAATCACATGCACACACATGAACAGATGTAGTGGAAGGAAAGGCAAGAATTTGTGATCGACTGTACAGGGAGGCGCAGAAAGGTGAGAAGAAGGAAGACGTCTTCTGCTAAAACCGGTACAGGAGTCAAGAGGAGGAGACGGAAAGTGAGACGGACTAAATCCAGAAGAAAGCTGGTGAGTCAGTCTTGAGATCCACATGATTTGGTTTTAAATGTTTCCCTCGATGAATCCAACACGGAATGTAAACCATGAATTAAGATTATTTATAATAATTGCTTCCTATGAATAATCATTTTATTGCTCTCGTAGTTGTACGATGCTTTTCTCTCTGGATAAACACTACCTATGTTTTCCCACTAGATGTTGAATAAGGCAGCCACTCCTCGAAGCCGTATTGCTAATAATCTCAAAATTGCAAAGGACAAGAAGAGCTCCTCGCTTCCTACCGTGTATCGGCCGTTAGAGCAAACGCTGAGCAGCATGCGAGCCGACATAGGTGCAGCATCCCTCTCCATCCATGGAGATCCATTCGAGCTGGATCCATTTGTGGAGCGGTAAGAAGACTTGTGCATATTGCAGTGCTGACCCAAATACCAAATTCAGATATCTTATGTTTTTAATATTGTATAATAAGCATGTAATGAATAGAGATGGTTGCTAGAGCCACTCGCCTACTGGTCTAGTGGTCCTGACTCCTTAGTACAGTAACTGCTTTGCACATTTGTTGCACCAAGCTGTTTTCTTATTATTTATGGTGTAAAATGCTATCACCTATGTGTGTGGATTGTGTATATTTTTGTGTTTGTATGTAGCTGAGCATATACAGTGTTAATTATGAAATAATTGTGCCTTACAGTATTGATTTGACCAGTGAGGAGGAAGAACAGCAAGCCCGCGTTACATCGCTGCTGGAGGCCAAGAGACGAGGGATCTCTCGCTCCGCTCTTCGCTCTCACCAGCCTGTAGCTCGACCGGTCACTGCAAGCCTGTCCAGGTAACAGGGAGTGTAAGGGTTGGTTATCCAGAACCGGCTCTGATCGGGAACTTTCCATATTTATAGCTAACTGAGTAACATGTTAATGCTTATCGATCCCCTAGTATGACCAAGACTTTACTGTAGCATGGTATAGGGATGCAGGGTTGTTAAATGCCCTCAACATTAGCTACAATGATCCAGAAATCACCCAATGTTGATTGGTCGAAATGATTGTAAGCAATGTGCATCACTTGACTAGAGAATATTTCTCACAAAGTATCTTGCTTTTTATGACATATCAGTTTATGGCAGTCTAAATCTGCTGAATGTAAAGGTGGTTTTATGCTTTGACATGTTTCGTTTTTTCTTTTAAATAAAAAAACAAATGTAATCAGTTAAGATAAGAACCACAAATAATGAGCAGATTAAAAACTTTATTTATTAAACAACAATTCCAAACACTGCTAATGTGGATGAAGTTACAAATCATAGTTACTTGTAAATGTGACATGTGAGGTGTCTTGTCTGTCTCAGTCTTGGTGATGAAGATGGCATCTAGCTAAATGGACACTAAAGAAATATGCTTGATCTAATCAAAGGTTTGCTTTGCTTTACCAGGAGAGGTATGAATGTGCACCAATCAGAGGGGGCTGTGGAGGCGGCTCCTGTGCCCGACCTCCTGGGCAGCATCCTATCGGGACAGAGTGTCCTCTTGATGGACAGCTCTGATGTCGTTATTAACCGGGATGGTTCCCTTAAAGCTATAAAGCCAAGTAAGTGTGTGTGTGTGTGTGTGTGTGTGTGTGTGTGTGTGTGTGTGTGTGTGTGTGTAAACACTAAATCTAACCAGGAAGATTAAATTCAATGTGTTGTAGCTGTTGGATTGAAGACACTTTGGTTTGTGAGACTAACGGAGGACAAGAGATCTGACGTCCTCGTTCTTCTTATCAAAATAATTGTTCATTTTGAAATATCCAGCTTTTGAAATCATTATTTTTTTTAATTACCTGAGTGCTTTATGTAAAATGCAGATCAAGTTAGTCAATATCAAAATAATGCAATAATGCATGTGGAATGAGTTATTCCTCACTCACTCTCAGCTGACTGTTGCTGTAACCATTTCCCATTTCCTGGTTTCCCCCAACACTGTCACGTGTTACTCTAAGTAATCACAGTGTGTAAACCAGTGTAATCTGTCGAGCAAAGCAAAAAAAGCCTAATCCTTCCATTCTTTAAGTGTGTTTATCTTTTGTAAATTGTTTGTGTTACAGTGATGCCATCTGCGTTGAATCCAAGCTGCAGCATAAGCAGTAGCTCAGGAGACGCCAGCACCCAGATCAGCCCGGTGATGTCACCGAACCAAGGAGACAGTTCTCCGTCTCTCCACCCCACCGGAGACCTACCAGGATCCTCCCACAGGTCTATGACCAGACCCCTCTCCCAGAGCTCCTCGCGTTTGCCCTGCTCAGCCAGCCACATCCATCCATCCCCCCATTCTGACTTACCGCCCAGAGGTCATCCAAGGCTGCAGCCACCTGCTCCAGTCAGACCCACACCCCCTCCTGGTCACTGGAGAGCCAGTGGAGTGAGAGACCCCAGCCCCTCCTCGTCCACCCACCCCACGCTCGACTCCAGCTCCAAGAGCAAGGGAGGGGCCTCATCGCAGTCCTGCTCTAAAAAGGCCCCTACAAAGCCCATGTGGGTAGATGTGTCGGTGCTTCCAAGGATACCAAAAATAAAAAGGGAGAGCGGTGGTATCGCACATGATGTCACTGGTCAAGGTGGCAGCAGTGGCAGCAGTAGTAATGGTCACCGCGTGCCAGAGACGGGCATGAACAGCTTTGCTGGGGACAAGGGAAGGCAGCAAAGCGAAGACCAGAAAAAGGGCCGGGCTGACGGTCAGGCTCCGAGGCAAAGGCCTGACGGAGCCGGCTCGTCCTCAACCTTCTCCAACTCATTCTCCTCTTCTTCGTCCCCTATGGGCTCTTCTGCTAGCCAACCACGTTATTCCCCGTCTTCCTCCTCTTCATCGGCAGTGAGCTTCCGCATCAACTCCAGTGGGAACTCCTGGCAGTCAAGGCAGCTGAGCAGCCCGTCGTCCTCCGCTGCTGGAGGCAGTATGCAGACACCTCGGAGTAAAAAGGAAGACGATGTAAAAAAGAGACAGCTGCACAGGGATAAACAGATGCTCCTGGCGTCGCGTATGCTGGTCAGTAAGGAAGAAGACAGTAATAGTATCTATGATCCCTTTGATCCCACTCTGTCTGAGTCTAGCAGCTCAGACGATGAAGCTGAGAGCACAAGCCTGCGTGGTAGCTCCCGTCATGCCACACTTGAGGGGAAGCCTCCTAGTTTAGGCAACAAAAAGGGTCTTTTAAAAAGCCAGCAGGACCTGGTTACTGTGAAAGCTGAAACTCAGGAGATTGAGGTCTCAGAGGAAGAACCAAGGAGAGATGGCGCTCAGGAAACCACATCACAGAAGGTCAGATGCTCAGAGGAAACGGTCAAGGTAAAAAAAGAATCTAGATTAATAGACACCAACACTGAGAAACAAACCTCATTATTTGCCACTTGCCAAGTTAAGAACGAGCCAGGGTTAGTTAAAACGGGGGAAGACGAACGGTTTGGTCACTGCTTTAAAAGTGTGAAGTCAGAGAAAGCAGATGACACACCAGCTGTTCAACACAATCTGGATCGTTTAAAAACGAAGAGAGAGACTCTAGAGGAGGAGAGTGGACGGAGTGTTGAAACTAGCAACAGTGCTCCCCCTGACTGTAAGAACAATTCATCAGCATCTAGCTCCACCCCCACCAACAAGAGGCAAAAGCCGGAAACTAAATCGGATTCCAAATCCTCTCCTGCGTCAAAAGATTTGGGCCTTAAGAAGAAGACCTCCCAGGCTTCAAAGGAGAAATGCTGTAGCAGTTCAGAGATGGACAGAGACAGGAGAGGAGAGCATCGTGCCTCAGGCCAGGGAGGCCGACAGAAGGAGAAGGACAGAGGGAGGAGCTCAAGGCAGTCGAGCTCCAGAGAGAGGACGAGGAGGCCACAGTCCACTTCAGAAAGCTCTCAGTGCAATTCCCCAGATAAGACTCGCGGAAAGAGACAGCGGTCCCGGTCCAAACACGGGAGGCGATCTAGGTAAATATGTAATCCTACTTCCAATATTCCTGCTATCAACTGTTTAGCAACTGTCTGTTTGTTGTCGAGACCTTTTTAATGAGGACCAAGTAGTTTTCTTCAGTTAAGGGTTTTGTCGGTTATTACTTTCAGGTCTGGTTCCAGCTCTAGCAGCAAAGAGCGTTCAACGAGGAAGAAGCCGAAGCGAAGGAGCAAGGAGAGACGTGACGGCAGAGAGAGAGACTGCGATAGAAGACGGGTGTCAACGGACAAGAGACATGGCCGCTCTCGTTCAAACTCCCGATCCAGATCCAGGGAAAGGAGGAAAGACAACACACAACTGCAACAACCGTCTCTCTCCTCCAGAGATGAGGCGGAGTCCCGGTCAAAGGACAAGAGGAGACACGGGTCTAGATCCAGCTCAAGAGAGAAAAGGAAAGAAGAGTCATCGAAGAGTTTTCAGAAGACTTCAGGGTCCTGTGTTTCGTCCTCTAAAGACACAAAACTGTTGCAGGGCAAGAAAAAAGAGAAGGATATCGGTCGAAGCTCCCTGAAAGAGGACAAAGCTGCCACGGTGAATAAACAGAAGATTGCCTCCTCTGAACTTAGAAAGAAAGGCAAAGACCTCATGGCAGACAGCCAGGCCCCACCAGCAGAAATGGTGAAAGAGATGAAGATTGAAAAAGAAGTGAAGAAAGAAAACCAACCATCTCTTGATATGTTTGAAGATTCTCTTTCTCTTACGAAACAAATTAAGAAAGAAGAAACTGACATTTATTCTTCAATGGAAGCCAAAAGCATAGATGAGGAGGGAAACGAAGACCACCCCATCAAGACCGAGACGTTTGAAATCAAGACAGAGACGTTTGAAATCCCCAATATTAAATCCGAGCCAAGTTCCCCAGAGTTATGCCACTTTAACTCTAATACCTCATTTTCTACACCCGGTACAGCATACAGTCTCCAGGATTCAGCCTCTCAGTCTCACCCAGAGTTAATGCCCTCCAGAGAACCACCGGACACCTTCGGGTCGACTGTCCCCGTAAAGCAGGAAGTTCAGCAACCCTCCGACTCCGATGACGACTTTAATGTCGACGTAATGCTGGACAACCTGGACTACGTGAAGTCTGAGCGCACAGAGGGAAGCGGTGCATCCGTCAAACAAGAGACGGCGGCAGAAGAAGAAGAGGAGAAGAACGAACGGGTATCGACTGTAGTGGGAGCCAAATCCAAGACTCAAGTCAAGAGGGTTACCTGGAATATACAGGAGCCTGAGGGGCCTCAACCAAAGAAATCCGCAAGCAGTAAGTGTTGCTGCTTGATTGCTCCGCACCAGCTTTTGTCTGCTGCTCACATAACTGAAACTAAGAGTTGAGATGTAAAAAAGTGATTCTAGATCATTGATAACACATGGATAACTTTATGTGCATGTTTTCTGAATTTTGTCTTGCGTAGAGCTTTCTCTGTATAAGTTGAAGCTGAAGCAGGAAGGAGCTCGCAGACCATCTTCAACAGTCCAGACATCCGGTCAGGTAGGACGGAGGCAGATGTTACTGCAGGGTCAACCCAACTAGTGTTTGTAGATATGAAGCGTTTACTGTGGTTAAATGACCAGAGAGGGGCAGTGTTCATCTAGAAGAAGTCAAATGTATTCTCTGTCTGTGGAGTCATGTGGTCGAAACTAATACTGATACTGAAGTGTTTTCAGACTAAACTAAAGTAAAAGCCATTCTAGGACAATCCAAACTGTTTCACGTTTGATCTAATCACACATTCATCCTTACCAAGTCTATGTAAGATCTTGGACTGAAATATAAAACAATTATTATTTGGATACCAATGGATTGTGGGAAAATATAATGGCCATTTTTCACAATTCTCTGACTTTTTATTACCACAGCATTTGAAATAGTTAGTTGCAGCCTGCAATTACTTCTTAGTCTATCTTTTATATTTGATTGTAATCGTTTAGTCTAGTCATTCTCTTTTCATCCATATAATACTTTAACAGGAAATCACCGGAGCCGTCAGTCACCCCTCCAAGAGGGCTGCTGCTGGTCCGCTCACTTCCTCCTCGACATCTGAAGGGGAACAAGGAGAGGAAGGGGATGTGGCGAGGAAAGACCAGGTGAACCTGGTCTTTTGAATGTTTAAGCTTTGAACTGTCGAGGAGTCTTGTAAATACATATAACTCCTACTACTACTTAATAGCATTGCTAATATTTGTGGAAACTATCGTGACATGTCTGATGTTTCGCTCCTGCCATCAGTATTTGAAGAAGCTGCACATGCAGGAGAGAGCCATAGAAGAGGTGAAGCTTGCCATCAAGCCTTTCTACCAAAGGAGAGACATCGACAAGGACGAATACAAAGAGATTCTACGCAAAGCCGTCCAGAAGGTGGGTACAAAAACAACTTAAACTTTAACAACTTTAAAGCCCGAATACTAATTAACTCAGGCATTCCATCAGTTGAATTGACGTGTAAATTACCTTGTGTTCCTGGTCATCAGGTGTGCCACAGCAAGAGTGGGGAGATCAACCCAGTGAAGGTGGGCAATCTGGTCAAGGCATACGTGGACAAATACAAACATGCTAGGAAACACAAGAGAGGAGAGGACTTAGGACAGGAGGCTGAGGGAACCTCTGACAGCCCATGAGGAGGCAAACATTAATGGCAAGGACAGCTACAGCCACTGCTAACACGTATCCATATGGTTTACTTCCAAACGGTTGACTAACATTTGCTCAAAGCTTCGAGATGGAACATTTTCTGTAATGTCGAGCTTTCCATCTTAACTGAAGTTTGAGGACAAACCTTCTTTTTGTTGACCGCCACTGCCAAGAACTGGTCTCCTTGTGTCGTACAGCTTTACACACTTAATGGGAGACCTTTGAGGTTGTGCCTTAAAGAGGCAAACCTCAAAGCCCCTCCCATGGAGTGATAAATCAGGTAGCTCTGTCCACTGGGAGGATGCAGCGTGGCCTTTCACCTTCATGTGGCTGTTATTTTGTTTTGTTTTGTTGTGGGAGTGAAGGGGTATTTATCAGTAGCAAGACTTTTTTTGTTTGTTAAGAAGAGGTATTAAAAATATGCAAAGTATGCATATTTAAGACGTTCGACTCGTTAAGGAACAGCACTGTTATGCAATTTTTGTAGAACATTTATCAGTAGAATAATTGAACAATTTTAGATTTGGTTGTAAATAATATAGATTTGATATATCCACTTATGTTCCTTTCATCTGTGTTCTGACAGTCTGCCTGCTGCGAATGACATAAATGATTTGTGGAGAAGTTTATGGAGTTGGTTGGCTTGTGTTTTGTATTTTAAAGCCTCCGTTATCCGTCTTTCACATTTCTGATGTCCTGGCTATTGAGCTAAATGTGGTCCAGCATACTGCAGGCCGATACTGCTCAGCAGTGTGAAGTGACAGCCTCCTCTTCCTATGTTCAAAACAAACCTTTCAATCTCATCGTTATCTGTTTTTTTCAGCACATTACTCAAATGTAGAAAAACCAGGTTTTGGAGAACCAAGAATATCTTGTTTTTGTAAGAGATAAATACATAATGACAATAATAATAATGCAACATTTCCTTCAAATAGATTCAATTTGTTTCTGGGCATTCTGTATTTAAACAATGGAGACTACAGCTCTAAAATACAGTAGCTAGTATGCATTTTATTTTGGAGTGAAGAGGGGAATAATACCGACTTCCTGTCTCAACGGAGTTGCAGTCCCGATTATCTTGCAAAAATGTTAATGTACATATTGTGTCACTGTCTTACCTGGTGCTCTCATGTACACAAACAAATTCAGTTTTTTTATTTTGTATTTAATGTATATTAATAAGTATTAAGCTAATTTTAATAGCACAATATCCTGGTTTTGTGAGCTCAACATATAGTCTAAATAGCATAAAAACAATGGAACATCTCACTTCTTGCAGCATTTTCCATGGTCGACATGATGGAAATAAACACACCCCCTTTAGTCGGGAATCTTTTGGGTGTTCACCTGCAGTACTTAATCACAGCCTAATTATGACTGCGTTTCCTGTGTCTTAAAGCGAACTCTTGGCTATCTGCTTTACTGCATCGCTTTCTTTAACACAAATGTTCAGGAGAAACCATTTTGCTGTCTATAGTAGTTTGTTTGCCAACTGTAACGACGGATTAGGTCGGTGGTTGGACTTCCCTTGTGCTTTGTTGTTACGTTTAATCCGACTTCATAAAGAGTAGTAGGAAACTACAAAAACAGGTGCTCATGTTTATCTGAATGTATTTTACTTTTTCATTTGACCAGACAGGCCCGGTGTTTCTAAGAGGGGAAACAAATGATAATAAATCACTGATGATAAACGGGGTTTCGTCTCAGTTTAATACATTTACTCATATTCTGTCCTTGTGTCATGTTTTGGTTTAAAGGATTTGGGGAATGAAGATAAACTATGAGATGTTTAGTGATGCCTGTAATCTCCTAATTGTTCCCCATAGACTGAAAACAGTCAACTTTCATCATTTGGTTTTTCTTTCAAAGTGTGTGTGTGTGTGTGTGTGTGTGTGTGTGTGTGTGTGTGTGTGTGTGTGTGTGTGGGGCGCGCGCGCGCGTGTGTGTGTGGCGCGCGTGTGTGTGTGTGTGTGGCACGCGCGTGTGTGTGTGTGTGGGGCACGCG